AGCGATGGACTTTGTGCCAATTCCTTAGGTCAATCCTTAGGAACAAATGAATGAAGGATAGTGGATTCTTAGGGTAAGACCTTAAGAAATAGAGAAGATAATGGGGATGGGTAGTTGGGTTGATTGTTTGATGATTGAAATTAATAATAATTATATTATTGTGGGTTGAAAACCCTATATGCTCACCAGGCTCCCAAGGCTGACCCACTCAGTTTATTTGTATCACAGGTATCGATACGAAGCTGCTTTGCACTGAGAGATTAAAGGAGATGTAAATTACTAGTGTAAATGAATGTATGTTCTGTTTATGCTTTTGGTCTGTATCGATGTGGACATCTCGAGTTTTGTAATAAAATGGAAATACATTTCTTTAAGAAATGCTTTGATAAATATTTATTATATTTTGGTTTGGGGACAAATTCCGCAACACCTTTTGAAAGATTACTCTGATTTTATTTTATAAAGCATAAACGAAATCGGTCTTTTCTGGCCGTGAAATTGGGGATGTCACATATGTGATAAACCAGAAGTCAATGCTCACCAGGGCAGAAAAAAATAAAAGAAAAATGTAGGGTCCGAGGGAAGAATGATAGGGGGAGACCGAAACCCTAAAAATTGGTTGATACCATGTTAATGATATGAATCGTACCACAAATTGTGGTAGAGAGGTATTTTATATATGATTGATAAAATACAATGAGATAAATAAGGAATAAAAGATAACTTAAAAATAATATACAGAGTAAATATATTTTGGTCAAATATCTCTAATAAGCGCCAACGTGACCGTTTGGATTATCTGCAATGTGGTCTAAAGCAGCTCTATCTTCAAATTTATTAATATATTTTTCTTTATTAAAATTTGTTTCATCCTTAGATTCATCCTCATAATCTTCCACTTCATTATTATCACATGTTTCAATTGTAGGGATCCAATCTGACACATCATTAACCGATACTATGAAATTTTCATCTTCAATGTCAACTAATACCTTTCCTGTGATTTTGTCCCAACAATTGGTTTTTATACAAACTCTTCTAGAACTCGCTGGTTCGTCTTCATCTTCATCTATAAACAAAGGTTGCCTCCACAAGGAAACCGCCTTTTTAAAGCCAACCTCGTCCAAGTACATAATGATAGTCAAAACAACTCAACCCAAATGACTCTAGAATCAAGAATGGATTTTTTCTTAACTGGAAGGATTTCTTTAAACAAATCTTACATCACCTTACTCTGTTTAAACTTTAGGAAAGGGCTCTGTTTTTTGAATTCAATCCAGACCCACTCTCCTCCCAAATAAGCAATATTAAGACCATTAAACCCTTCCTTATAACATAGTTTTTAGAGCTTCTCAACAACATTAATATCGCATACGTTATCAATAACGAGAGAAGATATATCGAAGATCATGAGCATGTATGAAACTCCAAGCTTTAACAGTTTTAATTTCAAGAGTTCGTTGTTATAGGAAGACTGATCCTTTTTGTTGTTCACAAAAACTAATGCAAATGTTTTTTTATCTTCCTTTTTTCTCCAAATTCTTCCCAGTAAAAAGATCATTGTTTATATTGTAGAGCAGATTGGCTAGTAATCGGACATTTTCTTTCATCTTGTCAGATATCAACCCTTCATCTATCTTCTTGATTACTGAATCAAGCCCAAGAAGCAAAAAGACGGTGATTCCCAATATAAATTATGTTCAAATTTTCAACTATACTAATGTGGTCCTTGGATTTCAGAAACGAACGAATGCAAACCTTTTACCCAATTTTGAAAGCTTCCTTGCGATGTAGACATCAACGACTGATCCGTGTCGTTCACACAAGTTCCACAAATCCTTGAACTTATAGATTCAGGGAAATTCATGACAAATACGTTCACAGTAATGGCTTCCAGTTTTTTGGAATTTCCATTCAAATTGCTCTTCTTGTTTGCTCTTGTGTGAGGATTCTCTATAAGAATTTGATGTTTCCCTATTCTCCAACTGTGAGAGTCATTTACTATATGAGTTGATTAAAAAAAAGTTATATATAAAGATATAAATATTAAGTGATTTTTTAAAGAAAATTTTAAATATCAAGGAGTAAACATTAAGTATTTTTAAAAGTAAATTTTCAAAATAAATACAAAACAAAAGATGAATAAATAAATAATTCAATTTATACTAATAAATCAAACTACAAAGAAATAAATATATTTTGGCCATATAACATTTTTTGGTTTTATCAATGAAAAACAACAAAGTTTGATTATTTTCATATATAGACTATTTTGGCATAAAATGACGATAAACATTGAAAGAAACATGTCGGTTTTGAATTATGTACATCAAACGAAACATATTAACATTTAAAAAAGTATACGAAAATAAAATAATGATACATTGATTACTTTCTATAACCTAAAAATTAAAATAGTTAATTAAGAAAATTGAAAATTACCACAAAATAACAAGTGGAAATTAATTTCTAAAAATTAACCATAAAATTACATATGTAAGAATGCATGAGAATGTGACAAATGGTAGAAATAGTTTTTATTTATTAGACTAGACTAGATGCTAGTCTTCATTAATCTTGGATTTCAACAAGGTCTAAACTGGACTTGGTCTCACAACGGGTCGATCAAACCGAATTTTGACTAATCTTGTTAGGCTATCAATCAGGCCGAAAAAAAAAGCATGTTGCTCCTAGACCTGCACAAAAAGACCGTTCTCGGACCGAACCCGAAAAAAGACCGAGATTGAACCGATCTAAAACGAGACTAGACCGAAAAAAGACCGGATCGAAAAAAGACCGACTTGAGACTGTCCGAGACCGGTCCGAAATAAACCGGGCCGTTTTGAGACCAGTTCCAAAAAGACCGGACCGTTCCGAGACCGATACAAGACCGATCCCTAACTCGAGACTGGTCTGAGACCGATCTCAAAAAAGACCGCTAGCAACAGTTTATAAATATATCATTTTTGTGTTAATTACAATTTTTAATCCCACATATCTAACTTCATTTCTTTTTTTCATTTATTAAACTTTACTGTATCATTTTTAATAAAGTTTAATCTATCATTTTTGTTATTAATCACATATTTGTTAAGGGAAAAGTCGAAACTGAAACAAAAAAAAAAACCATCAAATAACAAAACCCGGCACAAAAAACCCAAAAACCGACTGGAAACCCGAAACCGAACCAAAAACGGCACACGAAAAGACCGCGAGACCAGACCGAAAAAGACCGAGACCGGTCCCAAAAAAGATCGGACCGAAAGAGACCGGTCTGAAAAAATACCAGACCGAAAAAAGACCGTCCGAGACCGGTCCGAAAAAAAACGGACCGCTCCGAGACCGACCACAAAAAAGTCGGACCGTTTCGAGATCGATCCGAGACAGGTCCGGGACCGCAAATGTGCAGGTCTAGTTGCTCCGAAAAGAGATAAAGAAAGAAAAAAAAGTCATGGTTGTCGATGTGGTTAACTTCTGTTATCCACTTTCTATTGGAAAGATCCATTCTATAATTATTTTATATATCTATAATTTCTTCTTAACTGTACTATAAAAATAAAACCTGTAAAGCAAACCATATTGAAAACCCGTTTTACCTACCATTCAACAAAATAAGAGAGCGTTCACAAAGTCCCCACACTCGAAAGTGGGAAACATATGGTCTTTTATTTCTCAATTGAGGTTGTACGAAAGGGCCTCATCATTCTTCACAAGAAATTGCTTTAAAAGGAAGTCATTCTTTGTTTTCCATAAATGAGTATCTCTCATACACATATTATTAATCATCAATACAGTGTTGACTGTTATCATATTATTAAATAGATATAAAGAAAAAATAGTTACACTTATTTGATCAATAATTATATTTTTGAATGTAAAAAACAAATAAGATACCTACAAAACATCAATTACTTTTCATAAAAGATGTTAAAAAGACATAATATTGTATCAAAAAATTTAATTTATAAAATATATTAGAATAGACATAATACTATTATGACCGTGTTTAACAAAACTAGTTGGTAACTAGAAATTGTAGCTTTTATTTTTATAGAGTTGTTCTGAAAAAATACTTAGTTTTAAAGATGCAAATCTAAATAAAAATCAAAAGTTAAAAACTCTCAAAAATTATTTGAAGTAGGTTTTGTATTATTAGTTTTTTGTTTAAAATTATAAAAGTTAAAAGTCCCCTTCCTTAATTTTTTCCAAACTTTTTCTTAAAAGCTGTCAAATGCTTCGACCACTTTCTATATTTACAACATGGACAAACTATGAAAAATGAAATCTTAATCCCAGGAAACATAATCTTGTGAGGGCTTTTGTTATAAATTTTTAATCAAATATTAGACCCAAGTTAATTAAAATCAAAATTGATATATTGATATTCATGTCATTTATTTAGCTATAAACTATTATATATAAATTAAAAAAATTTATTTCTTGAAATAAAATTTACTTAAAAATACTTATTTGTGCATATAATTTGCTCCCTTAAATATTAAAGTGTTTTCTCTGTAATTGTGGGCCATTTTGAACTTTAGATGAAGCATGCGTAAGAGTCTTTATGTAATTAGTACAAACTCAACTTGGAACTACTCAAAAGTATATTCATTTTCAAGAATCCTTAATTCATTTCCAAGATTTCTTGGCCTATGGGTGCACGCTTGACTTTATTTTACGACTTCGTGTATTTTGTAATATATACTTTTGTTATAAATAATATTTATATTTGTTAAATAAGATAAAACAATAGAAAAATTATGGAACAACTGGTTGTTGATTGTTAAAGCATCGTATATGCGGTTCCTTAACAGAAAAGCTAATGAAAATCGTTTGAATATGACTTTGATATGTTTAAGGTTTGCAACCTCGAGATTTCTTAAATTTTTGCCCATAACAACCTTTTATGTTGAAGTCTTTGTTGTGATCAATTTCTTGGTAACAGTATATATTTTTAGATGGATTTAATTAAAAAAAAAATTATAACACAACAAACTTTAGGCTAAGTTTAGGTTGACCAAACGAAATAAAAACAACATCGATCAACATAACATCAAGATGATCACTACCCTTTTAATATTGCTAAAATAAAGTAGATCCATAGTGAAATTAGTTTTTTTTTTCTTTCTTGATGGATTAGTGTTATCACTTATACACTAATTGCATGATTAGAAGCGTCAATGTCATTTGTTGTAGCTAATGATCCATGTAGTAATTTCCTCTCTTTCATGGCTGGATCTTCCAACACTACAACCTTGTCCTTGTCTCTAACCCCAACCATGTGTAGGTGTTCAACATCCTCTCTCTCCTTCCCTTTAAACAACACCCTTTGCTCCTTTGGTGCCATGCCTGTCACCATTGATAACAGCTTTTTCATCTCTCCTATTGCAAAAAGAAATAAGATCATTTGAGTATATATAGCATTATACGAAAAGGGTATTTGACTATAATTCAAAAAAGTTTGTTTCTTTGGACGCTTCATCAAGAACATGTGTTTCTTAACTTTTTCGTCCATAAATTATATATATCATTATGGAAGATCTTGTTTCTAACTCTCTTTATTAAATCGTTGTTTATACATTAAGTGAAAAAAGAAACACCGTTAAGATCATGATACTACTTTTGGAGCCTAACTTACCAAAAGTTGAAGTTGCTTGGATAGATATATCATGCCATTGTGAACCAGTTGCGACTCTAACCATAATAACTCCTTCTTTTTCAACACTTTGGCCTGCGATTTCTCTCTTTTGAACAAGCATACCACCAGGCCGCAATTCCCATTTGATTTCTCCGGCGGGGATGGTTGCACCACACTCCTTGTTGTCACCGTTGCCGCCACCACCTCCACCACCACGTAGCTTGGAAAGGCTCGTTTGGAATCTCTTTGATCTCAATTTCATCATCTTTGGTAACTTTTTCTGTTAAATGTCTTTTCTTTCTGGTATAGAGACAAAGAGCAATAGAGTTGGAGTTGTTTATATAGTACCCTAGAGAACGGGGTTTATAGTTGGAGCCATGTATAAGGGCAGAAAGGTAAATGTACTTTTTTTTTTGTATATATACAAGTCAATAGGATACCAAAATAGTTGTTAATCGAGTTTTATATGATAACAGCCGATATTTTTCTACTCATACATATAATAAAAGTATTGCTCTCATACAAAATATAATCAAAGATCAGGTAAACATTACTGTCATTTATGTTAATATTTAATGTATTATAAATGTTTACAAAAATATGTTATTATCCATCAAATATAAAAATAACTTGCAACAAATTATAAAACCCATCTTTCAATCGTGACATCATTTTCTACCTCAAAAATGGTTCTGATCTATTACATTACTAGTTTATAACCCGTGGGAACCATGATTATAAAATTAATTAAACTTTTATAATAAAAATTTATAATTATTAATTAATTATTTTAAATAAGTTATTTTAAATAAATTATTAATTAAGAGATATATCAAAAAATTTTAAAATAATTATAACATCAAATTTAACATATAATTAGAAAATGTAAATTTGAATTTTGAAATGAGTTGCCTAATATATCTACATGACACATGACATAATATTAATGAGAAATTGTATTAGGGTAACACTTGGCAAAAAGAGATTAAAACTATTCATTTATTAGAATATGGATTATTACAAACAAAATGTTCCAATTGATTTATTTTAGATTGTTAGAAACACACCTTCATTGATTAGTTTTTACGACTTATTTGTTATATTATTAAAACAAATACTTTCTTAAATTAAAAATTATATTTGTACACATTTAAGCAAATATCACACTCTATTTATAGAAATATAAGAAATATTACATATTTATGTATTGCAATAGATTTCCTATAAATTGTTAATTAACGCATTATGTATATTAAAGTGAGTTGTTTCATCTTTGATGCATTCATACCCGAACAAATAAGATATTTGAACCAACTCTCTTCATAAATCATCATTTCGACCTCTATCGATGGCATTTATCTTGTAATTTCAATTGGTACATCAAAGTTATATTCATAATTGATTATCATGTTATGTAAAATAACAAATATCATTATTACCATAATTTAGTATCTGATTTTTCCAAAAATGAAATGGTCACATTACAATTACACAGCAAACATGGAGAACTAGATGGTTGTGAGGACAAGTCGTCCCTATATGCCTTTGTCGCTATAGCCTTGTCGCAATGGATAGCTTTTTGTCGTTGCTATAGATATCATCGCCATAGGTAGCCTTAGAGATGACATATCGTCGTTGTTGGTTCATGGTTGTCCTCCCCATTGTTGGACCTATAGAGACGATATGTCGTCACCATAGCTATACCTATAGCAACGACATGTCGTCCCCATAAATGTTGTACAAAATTCACATTTGGCTCCTGTTTTATGTTTATTTTTCCAGTTTTCTCAAACATATAAAAGCAAAAACGCTAAATTTAACTACAAAACATTAAACTATCATACAATATCAAAACATTTGAATATTTATACAATTGTTTACCAAAACATACTACACAATCTAAAATTGTTTAAAAGTTTCATACAATTTGTTTACTTGCTTGCACCACCACCTTCACACCTGAAAACATACAATTGAGAGAAGTTCATGAATTGAAGAAACTTTTGCAAGTAAGATGAAGCTGAAAGGATAATAAAGTCTTTCTATCAAGTTAACCATTTACATGGTGATGTCATTGTAAGATTCTTCACTTAACGAGTCCAACTCATTAATTGCCTCATCAAAAGCTTGTTTAACCAAATGGCAGGCATGAAAATAGTTTATTACAATCAACTTCATCTACAATTAATTCTTTAATAATTAAGGAAAGACAGGTTAATTACATAACGATTTAATTTGCCATTCATGAGAATTCATAATCTACTCTAATAAATGAAATGTTTTTTACCATTTGTCACACTCTCATTCAATTTGTCAAATGTTATTTTGTGGTTATTTTGAATTAATTTTTTTTCAACATGTCATTTTATGAGGTTTTTTATTTTATTTAATTCTACATGATATTTTAATGTAATAATTCCAATAAATGTAGTAATAAATACATATCAATTTCATTAATAAACATACATTTTATTTTTAAAATTCCCAAAGTTAAAGCTTATTAGTTTCTTTTGTTTATTTATCTAAATTATTTGTTTAAATTTAAAAGATAAAAAACATTTCCATTATAATAATTCATTATTTTTCTTATTATCTTACAAATTCAAAGTTCTCAAATATTTAGACATTTATATTTAACTGGTCTTTTTGAAAATTAACTCATATAATACATGGGTCTCACAACTAGTTTTATAATAAAACACTAAAAAATTGAGGGTCAGACCTAGCTGAATTAGGTGGGTTGCAGGGAGATCTGAATTTGTAGCAGCAGAAGCAGCCTATACTTTTTCAAGTATAACAATAAAGAGACAAAAATCATAAACTAGTAAAAACAAATAAAAATAACCAAATCTAGATATATTTAACTATAAGTATAATTGTGACATCCCCAATTTCACGGCCAGAAAAGACCGATTTAATTTATGCTTTTAAAATAATTTCAGAGTAATCATTTGATTAAAAGTGTTGCGGAATTTGTTCCCAGATAAACATGATAACTATGTTATCAAATCATTTCCGAAGAAATGAATTTTATTCACTTAAACCATTGGGATGTCATTGTCAATACAAAAACATAAGCATAAACAAAACTTACATTCATTTACACTAGTGGTCTACTTCTCTTTTAATCCCTCAGTGTAAAGCAACTTCGTATCGATACTTGTGATACAAATAAACTGAGTGGGTCAGGCTTGGGAGCCTGGTGAGCATATAGGGTTTTCAACCCACAATAAATAATAAACTTATTAAGTTCTTAGTCAATAATAAATTTATTAATTTCATCAACCAAAAATAACCCTAATTACTCATTCACATTATCCTCACTTTACGTCCCTAAAACAACTATCACAAGGGACCTAGCCTAAGGATTGTCACTAAGGGTGACAACATTGCTTTGGGGGTTCCTCAGCAAGTTATGTCAAATAAAACAAACATCGGGGTGACAACATTGCTTTCCCTCAGCAAGTTATGTCAAACAAGACATCCTAACATAAAACAACCAACAAGGTGACAACATTGCTTTCCTTCAGCAATTTATGTCAAATAGGCACGAAGTCACATCGTCGCCATGTGCTAGTCCATAGCTCTTATTTATCGACGGTATTTCCCACGGGAGTTCCCCCCCCCCCCCCCCCCGCACAATACATGTCAATGGGTTTTCCATACAGCTGATGAACATACTTAAGGGGTTTCCCCAGCCTTACATGCCATAAAGGCACTCATGAGGGGAATAGAGTACAGCGAATGAACACTTAAGTCCATTAACACCTACAGGTTACGAGCCTGCTAGTGTTCCACAGACCGTCAAAACAGTCCATGGTTGTCATCCATACTCTGCTGAATGACGGGGGGTTTTAGAGTACAGCGAATGAACACTCAAGTCCATTAACACCTACAGGTTGCGAGCCTGCTAGTGTTCCGCATACCGTCTAGAACAGTCCATGGTTGTCATCCCTACTCTGTTGAATGACGGGGGTCAACGTTGGGTAAGGGCTTTTCTCATATTGCACCACTCACGCCAACATTTGGGTAAAAGCTTTTCCCATATTTCACCACTTACTCTCAACTCATGATCTATATCACTGATCATCTCATCTATCCAACTCACCTTTCATCACACACCCACTATTTAACTCATGATCTATATCACTAACTCATGAAGCTTGTCCAATCACTTCATAAAAGAACAAAGACTCCAAAGCTCTTCCAAATAAAAGTATAGGGAAAATACTGATAAAGTACTCCCGTACGCTCCCGTACCCTGACACGTAATAGTGTCAAAAGGAAGAACTAATGGATGAACACATAGTTCAAAAACACCTAATGAACATATAGTTCAAACATACGTACCGATTACAAGTCTACTAACGTTCCACTGGGCTATCTAAAATAGTCTGTGGCCGTTGTCTATACTCTGCTAGATGACTAGATCATCTTAAACATCGATACCTCTCATCACTTTTATTTCATCACACATCATCTAATTCATCTACCCATGTTTTACCAAACATATTTGTAGATAAAAATATATATACAGTTTAAAACTTGTATAAAACATCAATTCAACAGTCGCCTCAAATAAACAATTAATATATTTACACATAGCACGTATTTTAAGGTAAATACTTCATATCTATGTGTAAGGTGAAAGTGACTATACACTCACTTGATTTAATGAAAATTGGGCAGCAATTCGTTTCCTAAAACGATCGTTTCTAATAAAACCGGGAGTTTTATTGAGAAACCGGGCTCTGCGAGGGTCGGGCTTCGAAACCGAAAAAAATAAATTTTTCGGGCCTTCGGGCACTCCGGGACGTGTTCCGGGCGTTGGAAATGATCTCGGGGCATCGGGGGAGGTCAAAATGCTAAAAATATGAGTTTAGGGGTGAAAAAGGGCAAAATCCCAAAATTACCCGGGAAGTCTCGCAACCCTCTATTTATAGGGGGATGCTTCTGATCGGACGGCTGAGAAGCCTCCAGGTGGCAAAGATCCGAAGCTCGCAGTACATAGGCTCGCACGTGGTTGCGCATGCGAGGCCTTCGCTGGCATGATCTGATTGGACCGAAGTCCGGGTCCGATGAGGGAAGCTTGTGGCTTCTGCGAGGGTTCGGACACAAGGAAAAGAGGGCACGCGTCGGATGACTCAGCAACATTCCGGAAAGATGGCACATGCGAGGCGAAGACACGTGGCCGAAGTCCACGTGTGCGAAAATTCCCGGTTTTGGCATTATTCCTCGATTTTCGCGCCAAAACTTCTAAAATCCATTACTTTCGCATACGAGCTCCGTTTTTTACGTTCTTTA